CTAGCCGCCATTTTGAAAAATGCGATTTTGTTATATTCACCTGTAGGTGAATATAACAGATTGTTACGCTCAGGTAACGGGTTATTGCACAGAGCTCGAATGCGCCTTTCGCTTTAATGACAGTCGCTCTTTGATCAAATATTTAACCACGATAGCGAAAAATGTTATCATTTTATAATGCGATTCAACTATAAACATAAAACAATACAGTGTGTAAGAACCATCGAAACAACCGATTAGGTAATACACGTACATCGTTTCAAGCACCAATAAACACTACTTACAATTCTGTGTGCTCTATAAACCAACGATACATTAGATAAACCCCAACAACAATAAATGTCCATATAAAGTCGATAAAACGTTCCGAATACGTTATCCCGCGCAGAAACCTGGTTCTAGTTTTAACTAGTACTACCCGCTGGACAATTGCCAGATAGTATACTTCAAAATAAGGTTTCCGTTTTTATATTAATTTTTAAAATAAGTTAGGGTTAGGTTAGGGTTGGGGTTAGGTTAGGGTTAGTATTAGGGCTAAGGTTAGTATTAGGGTTTATAGTTTTGCGTTAGAATGGTTTTTTCTACGTTATAAAAACGGAAACCTTATTTTGAAGTATACTTTCTAGCAATCACCACTACCGCTGTCCGATTCAGTTCGCAACACAGATTAATACGTCAAATTTGACCAATCAACTTGTAGGATTTAAAACATGCGTAGGAGTGTTTTATCATATTTAAAATGCGAGTTGCCGAGGGCGCAGCACAAGCATTTTAGATATGATAAAATACGACTACAAGTGTTTCGAATAGCTTCAAACACAACTACAATAGATCGGCAAGCGTAGCCAGCCTGACAATTTAGTCCCGCTATGCAAATTCAAAATTATCATTATTGATTGTTTTCACATTCAATGAACACGGAAACATTTGCATAGCGGGACTAAATCGTCGGGCTGGCTACGCTACTCAATAGATGCCGTCTCATTGGTATTCTTTTGAAAGAATACTAATTAGGATGGACTTTTATATAAAGAATACTAATATGAGTTTTATCAGGTATAAAGCCTCGTGCATGGCATATTATGGTTAACATGATTTGCCAATAAGCTTATGAATTATTAATGAGTGTTGCGATCGATCATAATTATAAAACTTTTCGCATTTTTCAATAATCCTAAAGACATCAATGGTAGTTGGTTAGAAAAGTTAACTCAAATTTTATGTAAAACATTTGCTAGCTTCTCACAATCTTCAAGAACAAATCATTATTAAAAAATTTGATTACATTCCATAACATGGTAACCTATATCAATGAATAATTTGCCACCTTAAAGTTAATTGTCATTTTTAAAATTTCAAAAACTCTAAAGTAGATACCTGCAACGAACAGTATACCATAAATTTCATATAACTCAAAGTAAGAATCTCAAATTAAGAGCATTTAATTAATCTAATGGATTTTGATCAGCTCAACAGTTAGATTTGTATAAGATTTACAGGTAAACTACGTCAAGCGTTTTGAGTTTCTAAATTGATTGCAATTTTCCTCATTACTTTTGCAATGTTATTAAAAGCCAATTAAATTTTCCTCAGTTTCCGTTACAAGTTCTTAACTTCATGTTACAAGTTCCTAACTTCCTGTTCTGTTCTGCGTGTTGCTATTGGCTAACAAAAATAATCCACCAATGACAACGCTCTGAACAGAACAGGAAGTCAGGAAATTAAAACAGGAAGTTAGGAAAATTTAAAATGAAGTTTTTTGCATTGGAATATTGCAACAGCAGACAGGAACATTTCAAATTCCCTCAAGGCATTTGCAAAGAGTTTTTCAAATTTGCTAAGCTAATGAAGAAAATTCCAAATGAGTTAGGAAGTCAAAAGAGGAACGCTTCACGTAGTTTACCTGTAAGACTGATCGAGCTGTAAGACTGATCGATACTTTAAATATGTCAAATGCTATGGACATTATACATGTACCAAACATGTTTTTTAAACACTGTCCACTATTAATATCAAACAACCTTTAGTTAATAAACAACTGTTAAATTCTATACTCAACACTGTTCACAAGAAAAACGCATCAAGCTGTGCCATTTTGTCCTTGGGTTTGCCTCGTCCCCTTCTGCCACGCCTGCCCCGTCCACGCCCTCGTTTGCCCCCTCGGCCACGACGAAACATTGGATGCCGTCCTTTTGCCATATCAAACTTCACCATCGGCACAAGAACAGGGTCACAGAATGCACAACCGGTGTGTTCTGTTTTGTCACCTGGGAGGGGAGACTTGTTCCGATGGAATGTGACGTCGATGAGCGATGCACCACATTCGTCACAACCGTCTTCTGATAAAGACACCTTAAAGGCATCCTCAAATACGTGAAGCACCATGTTGCATTTATTGCAAGCCATTTTCCATTTTGGGCCAGACATGGTGTCCATGACGACCATACCCTCTTCACATGTCAGACACGGGCAGACACTGAGGGTGGCGGGTGAGAATTTGCAACTGGGATGACGACATTCGGGACAGCCCATACCTTTCTTCATGCTGGGGAAGGGTGGATTATTGTAGCAGTACGGGCAAATTGGGGTCGTCTTGCCTTGACTGCCTGTCGAGCAAACTACCAGCTCGAAATCATCTAAAGGGCATTTTAACTCTTTGTATAACTTAATAGTTCCATTCTGAGGCAGACTGTATGTTTCATCACAATGAGAGCAGTGCAGTCTAATTGGCTTAGCACTCACTAACTTCATGTAACGAACACATTTGCCACAACGAGACAAGGCCTTGCCTGTGTCTGCTAGCTTGGTGAATGAAACCTCAAACAGTTCATCCATGTTGGTTATACACTTCTCGAAATACAAATATTTTCGGCAGAAAATATCAATTGTGTGTGACAGTACTGCATCAAAATTTGCTTTGCCAACTGCAATAAGATTTAGTGTTCCTTCAACAGATGATCTCATTGTAGGCAAAACTAATTCCTGGTCTATTTTCTGATAACCATGAACCAGCACGATGCCAAGTGAAGTTGGGACAAGCCGACGACCGCTGTGCAGTTGGACGTAGTTTCGCTGGGTAATATTATTGATATGGACTGGAATACTGGCATCTGTCCCAATGCCGTGTTTCTCCATCAGGGTGATCAACTCGCTTTCTGTGAGGTAGTCCGGTGGGGACGTTTGTCGCTCGGCAACTTTCAATTCAGACACCTTGCATGTCGCACCTTTCTCGAGAGGAGGGATGGTTTCCTCAACAGGAATGGCCGCCCAAGGCATGATGGATGTAAACCCAGGATCAATTGGGGTCTTACCGCTGAAACTAAACGATTCTTCACCAGCTGTAAAAGAAATCGTCGTTTGGAGGTACTTGCAATCGGGACTCAAAGTTGCAATAAAATGTCTGGTGATGTAGTCATACAACCTCCAAGCATCTCCACTCAACTCACCCTCCCTTGCAAGCCTCATTGGTGTGATAGGGGGGTGGTCGCCAACATCATGACCTTTCCTAGGCTTGTTCATCGCTGTGTGCAATAGCTCTCGGACAGTAGCACCCCATGCTGCTCCTCCTTGAAGTTGCTGCAGGGTTCCGCGAAGATCAAACTTTTCGGGATATTGGGTGGTTTCCGTTCTTGGGTAACTGATGTATCCCTGGGTATACAGGCTTTCTGCAATCTGCATTGTATGCTGTGGTCCCATGCCTAATGCTGATGAACCAACACGAAGCATTTCAACCGTATGCAATGCTTGTGGCCGTTGCTTTGCTTTTTCCTTCTTTGAGATACTCTCGACGATGACTTCTTGCACTTCTTGAACTTTACTGTAGTAAACCGTCGCCACTTCCTTATCGAAAACTCGAACTCTTTCCCAATCTAATGCAAACGTTCGTCCAAGCGAACTTTCCACTTTCAATTGCAGAACCCAAAATGGTTCTGGCTTAAATGAAGTAATGGCATCATGCCGCTGAACACAGAAACCCAGGGTGGGAGTCTGACAAGGGCCATATGAAATCAAACTACTATCAAGGTCCCCGTACTTTCCTTGAAAATACTTTGTCTGAAACCTTGTAAATGCACAGCCGATTCTCAGGTCAAGTTCTTGTCGGGCGTCGACTGAGCGGGCTTGGTTTTCATCGGGTTCGATAAGAGTATTCATAGCAAGCTTGATATCAGATTCTGTAATGGCAGAAAACTTTGCTCGAAATACTGTTTGCTGGTTGGACCGTGTTGTATTCATGACCGGTTCGACACAATCCAAAACTTCGAAACAAATATTCTCCCCTTCTTTGTCACAATCTAACCACAACACAACAATGTCAACCCCTTTTGCCTCTTGTTGTAAAAATTTCACCATATTCAGTTTTGGGTTAGCCTCTTTTTTCAGCGTTTCTGCTTGGAAGAGTTCGACCGGATTGACCGCATCCCAATTGTTGTACTTATGGTGGAAATCCAGCGCCATGACATGACCACAAACAGAAGTCACTTTAAATTTCACTGTCGTGCCTTGAAAGGTACCATTGTATTCGTGAACAGAGCAAGCGCCGTTCAAACCTTTTCGCGTTGTCATTTTGCCATTTGACAAAAGTTTTGCAATTGACTGTGCAAGGGAAGGCTTCTCTGCGACCATTAAAACAGTTTTCATGTTTGAATTTAGTAAAATTACACCAAAAGTACATGTTTTGTTTGAAAATAAAAATATATATAAAACAATACCACACGTGTGCATGACAATTGTGAGTCTTACCCTACCCAGACTAAGAGTGCTTTTGGCGCTTGCAAAAATAAATTGAAATTTGAATACAAAGTAAGCATTTCAAACACTTTTTTAAATTTGAATATTTTGTGGTATTTTAAACATATTTCAAACTATATGCACCTTACGCTCAAAGTAAATCTATTCTAAGCGTATTTTATTTTTGAAATGAACGCAAACGTTACCTTCCTTCCCCTCCCTCCCTTATATGAACATGAAGTCATGAACAGTCTTTTCCACTTTGACTGAAATTCAGTATTTTCAAAGAACATTTTAACTAAGTAAAACCAAGTAATAATTTTTGCTAAAATATAAAGATAAAGAATGTACAGCCAATGTCAATAGCATATAGTATTTACATCTCTAGTTTTATGGTACTGGTAAGGTAACAGAATCGCTAGATACGCATGGGAAAAATTTATGAATTTTTATTCATTTCCAATTTTTCATAGTCTCGATTCTCGAAGGTGAATAGAAGCGCTTCTTTGGCAAAGTGGCAACACAAGTAAACAAATCTTCAAATATAAAAACATAACAACGATACAAAAATGCCTGCGAATTTTCAAGCGAAAAGAACACATTAAAAGCGTTTCTTTTGTCGTTCTTTTTCAACTATGTCCGACGATTCTTTTAATAATCCATCCAAAAGCGAACGCCAACGAAGGAGGCGGAAAAGAGCGTCGAGAAATTTAGAGGAATTTGGCGACGCGAATCTATCGGCAAGCGCTCCCGTGTCGAAAGGCCGTGGTTTGGCGCTTCAAGATCTGCCAAATCAGAAGACACCAGGCCAGGTGAAAAATCCATCAAGTGGGAATAGTAATTCTCTTGAACTGAACGATGAAAGGAAGACTAAATCTCGAAGAAGTCGGAAAAGAGCCCCGAGGCAAGGTACAGAGAATTTTATCGGACTACAGTATCTGCCTATACAGTAATGTATTTCTAGTTTATAACCGTTATCACGTTTATATGCGCCAATCATGACAATCATTGGCAATCAATTTATACTGTTAACATCCCGCCCGAGCATACCACTGGGTATTTGAACTTTTTGAAATTTTGTGGTCAAATTTCCCACTCCCAGGACAAAAATGCTGTTCAAATGCCCCACATATAACAGAAAATTGATGGTCAAATGCCCCAATCCCCTGGGGCCATTCCATTTAATGTACACCACCCCCCATGGAATACCAGCATTATACCAGCATTGGGCTGGTATTCCAAAGGTTGTAGGTTTTATTCCCACCATGGCCAGGCATATTTTTCAAGCGTTCCCGGTGTGGATATACACTCAGAGTAACATCACAAGCATTACACCAACACAGAAAAAGAGTACATTACACCAACACAGAAAAAATTCAAAATTTGAGCCCCTAAGAAAAAAGATCAAAGTGCCAACACAAACACCCCCCAGAAATTAAGAAATTTTTGCCTCACCCCTCAGAAAAAATGCAAAGATCACAGGATGCTGATGCACACATTCAAACCCCCTCAGAAATTCTCATCCATAGGGGGGATGGGGTGTACATTAAATTGAATGACCCCCAATCATTCTGACTGTAATTCTATCAGTTCAAGTTTGGAATTGTATGAAAACATACACTGAATTCTGAACGAAACTTCAACAGTTTAATAAATGAGTCTCTGTTTAAAAAACTTAAACCTCATGCTTTATAAAGTCAGGGTTTTAGCCAGAAGTAAAAAAATCTGTGTTTACCTGAAATTGGGAAATTTATTTTAGCCTGAAGCCAGGCATTTCTTTGTGGATCTGGGGGCATGCGGTTGCCCCCTCTCGATTTTTAAATTTTTTGTGTCTTTGAAATGGAATTTCCTGCATTTTGGGAGTAATTTTGAGCAAATGTAGTTATATATATTAAACATGTTTTTAATGGTGTATTAACAACATATTGACGGCAAGATACGGTACTGGACTATTATCAGATGTGAAAAATATAACTATTTTTTGGCTGACTCAAATTGGGAAATGCGACCTCAAGGTAATTGGGAAAACTGTGTTTAAAAATGTGGAATTTTTGACTGTAGCTAACACCCTGAAAGTTTCCAAAAAGTATTTAAAAGTATACTCCATATTTTTTAATTTTGTTTTTTTAGAAAAGTTTTTTATAGTCTCAGACCTCTGAATGCAATCTGGTGTATTAAATGGTCAAATGCCCCATGTCTTGTGACTCAGCGTCGAATGCCCTACCCCAACAGCAAGAAAGGTCAAATTCAAAAGGTCAAATTTCCCACTCTGGGGATACAGCAAGCGGTCAAATGGCCAGGGGGGGATGTCAACAGCATAAATTGATTGGCGCATTAATGCACAGAATTCACCCTTTGATGAGTAAAAACTGCAGTAAAATTGTCTGGCATTCGTACGGTCAGGTGCATTTAGGTGGCATGCAGGGTTCGAAATAATGGTTCGTGAATCACAAATCAATTTTCATTTTTCACGAACGCAATTTCATAGAAAGTGATCAAAATCACGAATCAAAAGTCTCTCAAATTGATAAAAATATACAATAATAAATACAGTTCTTTGTAAATGTGATGAAGGATCATATATTCCGAAGATATTGTTGTTAGATTGTACGTAAAACGATTATAATTCCACCCAGAATTCTATTTCTTTGCGAGTTTGCAATGTATATTATATATTTGAAAATTGCAGTGCTTCCACTTTTTAACTTCCAATTAGAGAAAATTCCTTAAAATAAAAAAAATTAATTCATGAACCATTTTTTCAGAATTATTCGAACCCTGGCATGAGCGGCAGATTACTCTCCCCTTGACAAATAATATTGTCTGGCATTGGCCAGAATAAAATAACATAGTATAGGGTGCATCATGGCACATTGCCACTTAAAGGGTTATTGGGTTAACAAGACACATTGGCAAGTAGATTGGTTAACCCATTAATGGGCAAGACTATCCCCTTTGTGAGTGAAATTGTCAGGTGTTTAGACAGAGTAAAATTATAAGGTTGATCATTTTGGCACATTGCAGCTTAATTATACACCTATCATTTGTTTCCACCACCCTGGGGGGGGGGGCAAACTCCCTGGCATTTGCAATTTTTTTGTGTCAAATTCCCCACCCTCGGACAGGAAAAACAAGTCCAGGCAGGGATACACCAATGACACCAAATTGTGTATTTATTAATTAAAAAAGACAGGCATGCACTCACTCTATTAATGACCAATAATTAGCACTCCAATTTGTTGTGTTGTAAAAAATTAAACTTTCGTCTAAAAGTCTTCCAATGCATACTAGTATATTTTAAAAAGCTTGAGTTGTCTAGCATATAAAACAAACAACAGAAAGCTTGGGTAGGGTATGAGATTCAAGAATTAAAGCATGGTCAATTTATTCCCACCCCCAGATTCCAGTTTCCTCTCAACATCCTGCCCCATGTCAAAATTTGTGGTAAAATCCCCCTGGGTTGCCCCCATCTATGGGGGAAACAAATGATAGGTGCATTAATTGGCTAAGTATGTATGATCCTGACACTTATATTGCAATAGATGAGATCCTTGGATAGTTATTGGCTGGTAGTGCTTTGCGGCAGAGTTCTGCTGGAGTTCTGGTGTTTTTTTGGTCAGTTGGAGTTGTGATGCTTTCTCCCAGCTCCAGCTAGAAAGTTAGAATGACAAGAAATGTGACAATTTTCTAGAATTTAGCATTGGTTACAAATAAGGCCAAACAAAAGAATTGGTTAGCGTCACACTCTCACAAATTTTCAGAGGCGGGCGGGCAGATTTTTTTTAAATTTTTACTCGTTTTTTAATTTTTTAATAGTATTTTTGGAGGGGATGGGGGGCGGTTTTTCCACCATATCGGTGATATTTTTTGTACTGATGTTGCGAAGGCCGCCATTTTGCTTTAAGAACCTTGTATACCCAAGCCTACGCGCTCCTATCGATCAGTATATAGCGCGAAGGTCTGAGCATGAGAAAAATTTCAAATATTAAACTGTTTTAAGCTGTAAAATGAAGAGATTTACATAAAAAATTTTTTTTAAAAACTCAGAGGCGGCAGAAAATCGAGAGGTGGGCGGTGACGCTAACCAAGTATTTTTTTTTATTTGGCCTAATGACAACATCGAATTTGCTAAAAGTACATACGTATAATCCAAAGTCATATCTGTTGTGTCATTTTCAGCTACTGCAAACGGCCAAATTGCATCTATCTATTGCAGGAAAAGTTATAAAATTGCTCTGCATCATGTCAGCTTACCCTGGGGACAAAACTGAGCCAACTTTTTCCGCTGTGTTGTTGACCAATGCAGTCCGAGTCAGAGATTTGAGGTGTAAAGAGCCATATTGAAAAATGGAGTTTGCATAGCACTATTGGCTAGGATGAAAAAGTTACCATGTAATTAACTTAATGAGTGGTAGCATTTTCCCCTTAACAGAGTTAGTAGCGGTCTTTGAAATCCTTGAAAGTCTTTAAATTTGAATGCAGGTCTTTGAAAAGTCTTTGAATTGTGTGAAAAAGCGAAGAAAGTCTTTAAAAGTCTTTAAATTCTTCAGTGAGTATTTGATTATACGATTTCCTAGCCAATAAAATAGATTGATTGAAGCAAGACTTTCGCAAATATCGACGAAAAGGCGCATTTTAGGATGTGATTTGACGGGACTAATTACCTGGTAAAAATGGTGCTCACACTCGCAAAGGGCTTTGAAAAGTGTTTGAAAATAGGCAGAAAAAATCTTTGAAAGTCTTTGAATTTTTTTGGTCTTGGAGACTACGAACCCTGCTTGATGAGTAAAATCATCTGGCAATAAAAAAGTAAAATTATAATATGGTAGGCACATCGGGGTGTATTGTGTAGCGTTAGACAGAATCGTAGAATGTAAATTAGGGTGCGTCAGGGCAGTATGAAACCTAATAGGTTAAGCTATTTTTCAGAAAATGAAGATGGTGAACACAGCATGGAGAGACGAGGTCATCGCCGTC